TCTTTCGCTGGACTTGCCACATGCATTTTCCTCAGAAATATGCGTTTTTGTCTAATTGCCTAGGAAGAGACAAAAATGAGACAACTGCAAGTTTGATTTTGAGTGTAATAAAACTAGTTTATTTACACAGTAACATGAATGCCACAGAATACACAGCAAAGTACCACAGCAAACCAGAGTGTAACTGCCCCTGATCACAAAGGAAGGCTTGAAGTTTATATACTTATTTATATAAAAACGTGTAAATATCAATATGAAGCACCAGATAAAGCAATGCAACCAGGAATTCCAAATACAAGTTATCCACAAGAATGGAGTTGAAATAATTAAAAAAAAAATATCCCTTATTCAAGGGATTTAAAGATCCCATTTATAAAAGTCCATTGATTTTGGAATCCCTAATTTAAAAATAAATTTCCCCCTTTTATTAAAAACAAGAACATATTCTTAAATGCTCAGCATAATTAAGTTTGAAAAGAAAAAAACCCAAGGATTTCAACTGCAAAACCTTCTAATACCAACAAGCCAAAGAACAAAGAAACAGAATTTTTGAGTCCTTTTTGAAGAGGTGTTACTTATGAAATGGCTATATTCAAATTTACACACTTTTAAATATATATTATATATACAATATATAATATATATATTTTCAAGCAAAAAGGGGCAAAGAATGCTTTTGGGATACAAAAATTCATATACATACATATATATATTAAAACATGCCCATATGCACTCATATATATATGTATGTGTATATATATATATGAACAAATATTTCCTCCGTATAAAAAAGTTCCAACCTCTTCTAAATCCCTGAAATCTTCCCCTTGGATTTATGGAACAAAAAAAATCTTTATAGTCTGAAACAAACCAAATTCTCAAATTCTGTAGAGTGGTGAAATGCTTATGTACAGGTAAGTTGAGTATTTCATTTCTTATTGGCAACTCTGCTTGATCTGAAAGCATTCTGTGGTTTCCAACTAAATGCAGAGTGGAGCACCAATGCAAGGAGACTTACAGGAAATTATTTAAATTACATTCTACATCTATTAAAAAATCACCATCCTTCTAATACTGCATCCAGGTGAATAATAAAATCCATACAAACGTCTACCAGAAATTCTCTGCAACACAGCAGTGGGAAAGACTTGCTCCTCCTTTTGCAGCTGAGGGTGCCCTAAAGAAATTTCTCCCCAGTATTTCTTTTGAAAAGTATTTTTTGTGTATCCCTCCCTTGAAGTGTTTGGAATCCAGATGATTGTTTACAGAATATTTCCACAGATGTCTTTTTATAGAGGTATTTAAAATTCTATTCTGCACTTCTTTCATGTTACCTTACTCCATAACTAAATCATCATCACATCTCTCTCTACAGGGACTGAAGGGCTCTGATTGTGCTCTAGGTTTTACAGGAGTTTCGGCAGAACCAACACTACCTCTGCAAAATCAGAGTAAAATAGATGGCTAGTCATGCAGGGAATAATGGTCATGTACTGCTTCTACAGACAAACTGTGTCTACAGACAAATTAATTCCAATTTGATGAAAGGGGGAAAGTGCATTAAAAGGTCTGATTCAGTTTCCATTATATACCTCAGAAAAGTTACAATTGATTTAAATAAACCAGGACTATTTAATTTATATTTACATATGAATTTAATTGCTACCGCAAACAAAAAAGGAATTAATTTAGGTGGGGCATCGCAGCACAAGAATTGAGCACATTTTATTTCAGCAGCAAATACTATTTTTACATGCTAAAGTTAAGGACCTACAGTGTGAAGCTGCTGAATAAATTCGCCAAGTAGCTGAACCCTAATACACGTGATTTATTTAAATAATACATTTTCCTCTCCAATATGTGGGAATTCCCCTGTGTTAAAATGTCAAGATGATCCATTCATACCTTGTGGGTGCTGCTGGGATGTGTGGAGCATAAAAGATTTAAGGTGGAACATTTCTGTAAATGCTACATGCATTCTTGTCTGTGGGCCAGCAACATGATCTCCTAGCTTGAGTTATTGATTTCATCACGTCTGAATATTGAAGTGAGACCAGGCTTCTATATTTGGACATTCCAGAGGCTCCAGAATAAAATTCTGGATTCCCTCATTCCTGAAAATTTGTAGGCAAGTTTTTACCAGTAGATTCTCTTTATATTCACTTGGTTATGCATATTGAGTGGATCAGATCTGAGGTTTGAAAGATAATTAGTGAATAAGTAATTCCCATTTAAGAAATAACCCCCCCCCCATTTTCTATAACATCTCAGGAGTATTTTTTTTTTTTTAAGAACTCCTGTTTTAACAGAGGTTTGCATTTCACACCACAGAGTATCGTGTGCAGCACATCCACTACTTACAGCAGGAGCAGCGCATCTTACCTTCACCGCTTCTTCCAGACTAATTGGATTCCTCACCTCCTAAAAGCTGAGTGTCTGCAGTAGATTGTCAAAGCAATAGGCTTCTTTTGATGCTGTGATCAGTCTAGACCAATTGACTTGTTTATCCACTATTCTCCCTGTGTGGATGCCAAATTTGAAAGCCCACAATTTTCTTACTTGAGGTTTATGCTGTACTACAAGCACCTTAAAGGAACTCATTCACATAAACTCCAAAAACAAATCTCATTGAATAGATCAACTCAGTGTCATACGAAGTACAGCATTTAATTTTGTAAAGTCTTAATGTGGGCAGTATTATTTCTAGGGCTATTATGAAAAGAATAAGATTTCCACCAACTGACCAGCTACATTTTAGTTTTTTGACAAGGCACTAAACATTGTGAATCCAATCACTGTGCTCTCTCTGTAACAGTAGAGAGGTTTTTAATGGCTCTAATAGGATCAGAAACCACTCGTCATAATTCTTCAAACAAGCATTTGATTTTTCCAGAAATTAGTTTCCACTGGAAAAAGCTTTACAGTTCATGTTAAAAATATTTGAATGACAGCTTTTATTAATAGAAAAATATATATTTACAGTCAATACTGTTATCTTAGATTTGCAGCTCTTCCTATTTCTTGAGCTCAACTGAAAGTGCGACATTGCTAAAAAAAAAAATTCAAGATCTGTGCACATATTCAGGTAAGTTATAACATGCACAGCCAGGGGTTTTGTTCCTGTCATACACAGGATCCCAGTTACAAACAAAGCGGGTTTTTTTCCTTTTGCTTAGCAATTATGCTGTAGCATTCTTAGGATTTGTTTACAATCAGTTTAATGCATACATTCTCGGATATTTATGCGGCACAATCTGTTGCCAGGATGGAGAACCACCACAAACACAGTTACAATCATCAGTTATGGGCATATCTGCAAAGTCAGCCTAAAGCTCCCCAGGGAATAGCTCAGGCCAGATTGTGTTCGACTACTTTGACCATTCTTTCTTTTTTAAAGAAAAAAACCAAACACACAACATTACAAATTGCTAAAGTTTACCCAGTGCTGTACAAGAAAGAGATTGGTAGTGAACATCTATCCATGCTTGATTATACTGCAGAGCTAAAATGAGTATTGGTTCATCACAAAAGATACAAACTGAAATTAGATAGCTAGAGATACAAAGGCTTCGGACCAGCTGCATTAAATACGTATGGTTGTAAAACATTCAAAATTCAACTTTGCACGTGCATGTTGACATGAAAGTGACACTGAGAACATGTGTCCATAAACTTTTAAACACCTACCGGCTTCAAGGAATAAGCCCACTGCAATGGCAAGTGCTCCAAGAATTGCTCGTACAGCCTATATGAGTTAGGTGAGAAGTTATGTGCGCACACGCACTATGAAACAAACACAAAACCAGACCACAGAGAACAAGAAGCCCTACTTGTAGCTCAACACATTGTGACTAATAACTAGCAGATAGTATGCGAGTGACTTGTCGTGCTCGGTGTATTTAAGCTATGAGAGCATTGCCCTCCTGTGTCCAGATAAAGCAGGGCTGCGCTGAACGTGTGTGAGTGTAAAGGTTCTTCTACGAGCTGCTCAGCAGTAGTGTAGAAACTTTCTTTCCTGATGTAGTGGAAGTACCTCAACTACATACATTGCACTTGGGCTTTTAATGCACTGTCCTCTTTTTCTGCCTCAATGCCACCATCTTAACCTTTTTTCCAAAAAGAGAAAGAAAAAAATATATATCACATTAAAATATATTATCCTTATCCTTGCCTGATCCTTCACTGATACAGGTGAATCAAACAAAAGAATAATAATCAGAAGTTTCAAAAAAAAATCTGTAGAAAGGTCACAAAGACAGCCTATATACTATGGCACAATCGATGTAGGCTTCCACACACTATTCAGCTTAGTTCTGATAGATGCCAGAGAAGAATAATATAGACATTTCAACCCCTCCAAATGTACGGTGTGGATCCAGAGCTAGTTTTGCTGACTTCAAGCCTGCAGGACTGTTTGTTCAGTTTCCATGCATCTGGTCCAAGCATGCATGTGCTGTATAAAGTGGCTATTTGTTTAAAGGCTGAAGTGAATTGATTCCTCACAGTTTCAACAATTAAAATGAAACGTCAATCCATAAAAAGAACACATGGATATCTGTGCATTTATGTGCCAGGAAACTAAAGGAAGGGGCTGCAGATCTAGCATCAGGTAGAGGCTGATGTGTAAAGTGAACACTGTAATGTACAGCTTTAAAAAATACATACAAGAATTGCACATAGATCCATAGGAGAGAAGCACAGGCTCATAACTAGGGCTGTCTGCTTTCCATCACCCAGTCGGAATATTCGGTATCACTTTTTCCCCTGCATCAAGATCAATTCTTCAGAGTGATTCAGGAAACAATTCAGAGCCTAGCAATACTGAGCAAAGACACCACCTGTAAAACTGCAGACGTTCCATAGGAAACGGCCGTTAGGTCAGGGAAGGAAGTCAGCAATGGCCTCAAAGCGAAAAGCTCCTTCAGGCTGAGTTTTTAAAAATTCTGTCTCTCTGATCCTCACTA